TGGGGGGGGGGGGATAGAAAGGGAGAGAAACCCTTTAAGTACCCTGGGCCTGGGTTCCTTCAGTATGCAGGCTGTAAATGTTTTACTTTGATTTGAGATACATGACAATAAATTAGGGGACATTTATCAAAGCTGCTTTGTTGCATTGCTGACAAAAGCTGCTTTTTGCATAAATTACTGCATTATACAAATACACTTAGCAGGATCCTGTTTCTTTGAAGTTAGTGGAGGAGATTTATGTCCAATGGAGTTTTTATTTATCTGCCCTGTTCACCTCAACAAGGGCAGGACATATTCCTCAATTAGTTCCATACCCCTAGAAATGACATATATATCTCACAACTAGAAGTAGAGAAATTTAAACAAAACAAAACAAAAAAGCAAGTGCACTTTTTTCTGGCAAGTCTAAACTACTGTACAGTGTAAAAAGTAAATATTAGGCTGGAGCTGTAGCTTTGAAATCTTTGTTCTCAGAGTGCTTTGAAAACTATTTAAGTAAGCTAATTTTGACAAAACAATATTCCCTTTGCAGAAAAGCTTTTCTAGACTTCATTAAGAGACTAAGTAAATATGAGTCCATTTCACAAATACTCGATAGCCAAATAAGTCGGTTAAAAGAATAGATTCCCTGAACGGTAATCCTCTCTGGAACTATATTTATGCTAAAATCACTTTCAATGAATATCTAATAAACTAATGAAGCCCATCTTGGGCTAAATGGTGAAGTAGGATGGTTAAAAAGGAACTTGTCACATGAATAAATTGGCTAAACAGTTACATTACTTAAAAGAATACAGAATCTCTCGAAAACCATTTCTGAGCCCTATTCTTCTGTCACTCACCATCCCCATACCTCAGCCTACACATAATTTATTTTGTTCCTAGGTCAGCAGTTCAAATGCAGCCCTATGTGGCAACTTGGAGCTGTTGCTATACAACGGCCTGAAATCATTCTGGAGAACTCTTTTCTGTCCCAGATCTAGAAAGAAAAAGAAACAAAAAGCAGAAATTTACTATTCTCTCCCCTTAATATATATATAGTGATGTCTGTCAGTTTTCAGTGTCTTTTTTAATCAATGTCAGTGTATCACTGGGCAAGACCATGAAGAGGAGATGGTCTGTATTGGAGACTACTAGTTACAGCCCAAAAGTTGTCAGGACCTGTGTTAACTTTAAAGCTATGCCAATGAAATTAAAGATCTGACAATGAGAAGGATGAATCAGCTCAAGCACAAGGTTTGGAAAATTGTCCTCCCCGCCCTTGAATAGTCTTTCCCCAAAACTGGAGCCCTCTGCTGAAGCTAAAAGGTCTCAAATTAGTTGCTTTCATATTTCACACTTTACTGGTCTTTGCCAGGCACTTTTTTGATCAAACTATTTCTGTCGGAATGACTTTGAGCTTTCATTCATACATGTCTATAAAGTTATTGAATGTTTTCAACTTATAATAAAAAAAATATCTTTCTAAAATAGTTACTAAATTTCATTAGCAAACTCTTGTTTTGTTTGAAGGAAAAGGTGTTCTTACATGTTAAGAATTTTTCTTTTTAATCAGCTCACACCCTTTTTAAAAATTCTGGAAAAAGCTTTCTCTCTTTTCCCCTCCATCCACCCCTAAAGAGGAAAAAAAAAAAAAAAAAAAAAAAAGCAAGATCCTTTGAACATTTAATGAAGATAGGAAAACAATAAAATTATACAAAAATATATTTTCATTATTCAGGCGGCTCTGGGGAACAGATTCCACACAGTGCATTTCAATGATCCCAGACAATGGATTACTATCATAATTTGTTCTTAAAGTCTGTTTAATTGGTTTACTTAGCCACCTGTTCAGAATAGTTACCATGAAAGCAGTGGTTTTGCTGAATTTCTGAGTGCCAACCTTCCATCCTTCATCCTATTCCTTCTCCCATTCTGGCTGTTAAAAAGTATTGAGCAATGCTTAGCAGAGATTTTAAAATAATCTCTTAACTATACAACATATATTTTAACTAATCAGGGAGGAACTGCAAAGTTATAACAATAACATGCTAATCAGGGTATTTACTCACTGTCATCAGCTCTGTCTGTTCCTGGGTGAGTGTCAATTTATTACATCTCACTGTACATATAATAATGGGGGAAAAATGTAAAGAATGATACGCATGTTTAATGTATGCAAATAGACAGCTGTATACTATGCATGCCTCTAGATGAATTACATCAGCCAATTTCACATTAAGAAGTTCCATAAAAGCAGTAAAATTACATGAGAAAATTCAGCCAAGGACTTTGAAAATGTTGTCCATTTCTTAAAAAAATAAAAAAGCAAGAGGAGTTAAAGGCATGAACTTCCATTTAGCACGGCTTACCACATTAAAAAAACCACCCCAGTTATAAAGCACTGGGGCACCCTTTGTTGCCTGCCGCAAGTCAGATTGCTTTCCCCAGGACTGATGTAAAGTATTTTTGCAGGACAGCAGATTCTGAGAAATAGAGGGGTTCAGCAGTAGAGTGTAATTAGCACTCTCTAAAACTGGAGCTCCAATGTAAACAGCTCGAGTCTTCATTGCACAAAGCAAACAAACAATCCCAGCTGAGAATTCCCTGGCAGGGCTCGAGCAAATAGGGCCCTCACTGCTGACTGCTGTTATTGCTATGGTTGCTTAATCTAAACAGACAGCAGCATGTAAAAATGTAAATATTTGATATTTGTTAATACAGTCCTAAGTTATTGCTCGAGCCGGCTGTTTCGGTTTTCATGCATAGGGACGCCTATGTGCAACCCGCTCTTCATAGACTTCAGTAGAGGAGTATTTTTAAGAAGCCATTATCTAAACTGCTGATGTAATAAGGCACCGGTATATGAAATACACTTAATAACTCAACTTTAGTTATTTATTGTGAACGAGGGTGCATTCTCCTTGATTCCATTTCCCAGCGAAATATAAGTGGAGCTTTCATCATGAGTGCTTGAATTTATGGCAAGCAGACCAAGTGACATTAAGAAAGCCACACAATCCCTTCATTCAGGCTTTAATAAGGAAGCCAAGGAAAAATTATCCAAGCTGGTTTGCGGGTGACAGCACAAGAACTTTTTGGAGTCAGAAAGTTAGCACGGAGGCTCCCTGTCAGCCCATTAAAAAGCAAGGTTGGCATTCCCAGATATTGGAACCATGTGTGCAGAGGAATTTTTCTTCTGGTAAGACATTCCAAATATTGTCCCAGAGCCAAACACTTCGGTGTTAGACTAATTTAAGCAGTATGTTGGAATCAGCTCTCAGGACTTTGATCATATGGAGATCGTTTGTTACAAATTGAACTAACCCAGTCTCTATTTCTGGTGGATCAGAACTATGGATTTGTTGAATTAAATGCCTCATTTAATGCAGTTTGCACATGAAAAGAAAGCTGCACTCAGGAATCTGATAGTGAATTTTTCACCTAACCAACAGGTCTACTTTTTTATTACTTTTAAACCTAATCCATACTCAGTCCACACTGTTCTTAATAAGCCTGGGGCTGTTTGGAGTGAAGGTTTAAATCAGCTCGTATGTTATGGGGGGAAAGCATCACTGAATTATCAAACCGTGTAATAAGGAACACATTTGAATCCAATTCAAGAAATAATTTTATGAAGAAAAATAAATTAGTCCTCGGTTGTTATTTACCATCCAAATAGCGCAGTGCTCTTTCATGACAGCAGTGGAGGGAAAGCTGAAAAATGATTTTGCAGACATACAATTTTCTCCCTGCCTCTCGTTGCTGTCCCCATTTTTGCAGCTGAACTATTGTGAGGGTTAAAAGTGCACAAAATAAAGCATTTCCACATATGGCTGCACTTTCTTTTCATTTCTTGAAGTTATAATGTCTTTAACTGTTGATAATGATATTATAAACTGTCATTTAGTGCATTTTGAGTATATTAAATACATGAAACAAAGATGTGTAGTTCCAGCTGGACCCTGATCAGAAACACTGAGATCTGATTCACTAAAACTGCAGATAGGCATGTGCAGGGCTTGCAAGGAGCATTGTGGAACAGGTAGTAGTTGCAATAACAGTGGAATATAATAATAGAATAAAACAAAAGAACCCAGTGTCGATTATTACTCTAGGAGTGGGACAAAACTGAAAAATAGGTACCAAATGATAACAGAAGAGTCACTGGCATGCTGCTATACAGTGAGCTGATACAGGACTCGAGTATATCACAGTTCTCTGCCTTGGGGAACTCAGGATTTACACCATTTTCAACACATTTTCATCTGGAGGCTCACACAAAATAAAAATGGGAACACCAGCAATTCCCAGGAATCCTTCCTCTTGGTCCCATGGGAATCTACACAACAGAGCTTATTTTGAAGGAAATGGGAACCCTGGTTTCTGCCCAGAAGGGGCAAAATTAATGTCTCCAAATTCACTGATTTGAAAGGACCCTCTAGCTGAGTTGAAAATCTCTGATATATGGATATAATTTTTGAAGACACGTCTTACTATTTGACTGGTTTAGCAAAGAGATAATATGTCTTGATTTAAATAGCCTCAGCCCCTTGGTGCCATTACAGGCATATCTGGCCGCTGCAGATGGAAAAGGAATGAAACTGAAGGTTTAAAAGAAAAAAAAAAAATCAGAACATCACTGTCCAGATAAAAGCCCTGAGCAAGACCATTCCTTCTGAATAATCAAGACCTTTATTGGGTCTTAGAGACAGGAACAGAAAACAGTAACATGAAAATAACATGGAAATACCCTAAGCTTGACCAAGGCAAGCTCAAGCCTCAGCTCATGCGGATCATGGTGTTTCCTCTACATTAACACATTGTGCTAAAGAAACTGGCCTGAGCTTAACCAGGCCACAAAGAGATGATCATGAGATTGCCACAACTGGTGCAGAACACAAGTCAGATGAGGCAAGCAATAAGTGTGGTCCTGTGCTCCAAATCCCAGCCTGGGGGGAAGCAGGAAGGATCTCCCACGGATTGTTCCTTCTATCTCTCATTGCATGCACAGAGCAGAGTTCATCTTTCATAAAGAAAAGGGAAACTGTCTCTTTAAAAAAAAAAACAAACCCAACAAAACAAACCAAACAACAGTTGTATAGCAGATACTGATTTATACACACACACACACACATATATATTTTATTGGCAAATAAAGAAAGATCAGATCTTTAATGAAATCAGGATGGGTTTGGGAAGTGAACTTGAGCTGAACTCCCCAGATTTTCATGGAACTTCAATTAAAAGAGTTTCAGAGGAGTTGCTGAAAGCCAAGCACTTGCCATTGAAAGCTTAATTTAAAATGAGAAGCATTTTTATACCACATTTCCCAGTGAAATTCCAGCCCTGATCCTAATTATGTATTTTTTTCTTGAATGATAAGTTTTTTTCTTTTCCAGATAAGCTGTATAACAAAGTATATAAGTTTTGTCCCCAGCTGTTATGACCAGTGCACACATAGTGGCTACACTGACAGAAGAGCCCATCATTATTGTTCAGAAAATGAATTTACCCTCTCCACTCTAAAACTAGTGGTGAAATTTCAGTCAGCTCTTGTTATCATGTGCAATATATAAGGATTTAGATGTGTGATAAATGCTATGACTAGCAAAAATGTGGTTTTGGGAAAAGGAGTGAAATCTGGCTTCAGAAAACGAAACAGAACAAAGTAATTAAAAATAAAGATGGTGGTTTAATTTCTGCTTCCCAGCCCATTCTTGTACAATCCTAGGAATACAAAGTTAATACAAAGCCTCACTGTAGGGCCCTTTTGAATACCAGTAGAATCATGCAACTCAATCCTTGAGCTTTGCTTTGAAAATGTATCCCTCAGTCAGATGCACTACAATTCAGTCTGAGCATCAGCTTCTGGGTGTGGAAAGGGGACACTAACAATGTTTGAAGACCAACCAAAACTGTGCAGTGGATCCTAGAGTGGCCTGAATCCATTAAGGGAAAGGATCTTGCTTTAACCAGGTACCGGGAAATAAATTACTTCAGAAACCATTTAAATAAATAATACTTTATTGTATAATGAATCATGATGGAATGGAAATTATTCTGAAACTTGTTTTAAGTAATGATGGGGGGATGTGTGCCTAAAATAACAAAATCCAGCACTGTGTCAGGGACACAGTTACCAAGACAAACTTTATGTGCTGTGGGGCTGAACCTCTCCCTCTGCCCAAGTTAGCTGCAATGCAACTGAATAATAACAGATCTGCAAACTATAGCTGTGCTCTTGTGGCTGTCACGTAAGGAGCAAGCACTGCAGTTTCACAGTCTCACATACAAATGGCCACAAAAGACTGAGAGGCCTTGTTCCAATTAAAACATTAATTTCTCATATTTCTTCTAGTTTTCGTTTTACTCTGATAATTTCTTCTGTCCTCACTGTAGACCAAAGACTTTTAACTCCCTTAGGAAAAGGTAAAAACAAATGGTCCTCAAAGGCTTCCCAGTCTCCTTCCCTTTCAAGATGTTTTGTGAGGAGCCTCAAGAGGAGGTCTTCCCTCTTTAACATTTTTGGGAAATCAGCCATGTCCTAGTACCTTCTCTGACCTCACTGCATTCAGCAGTTGTGGGGAGTAAACTCCAAAATTGTGCATTTTTGTAGTCCAGGAGATGAACTTAAAGTTCTGACTGCATTATTGTCTCTTATGGGGCTGAAATACGGTCTTAAAATTCTGTGAATACTCAGAATATTCAACCTTCTCATTGTTCATCCCCATGAGATCCTCATTTATTTCACAGGGGTGGATCCTGCCCTGTTGAGATTTCATAGTGTGAGAGCATCAGGGGGCAGCCAGCCATTTCCAGGTTGGCATTGTGTGACTTGGTTGGTGATTAATGACAAACTCCTACAGAGCCTAGGACCAAACCACGTCCTGTTAAGGTTCATAGCCATCTGTGCACGACCAGATATCCTGCAGGACAAATGTGAGGAGGCTCTGAAGAGCGGAATGGCTGCAGCTTTGCTCAGTTGACCAAAGCACTCAGTTTGCGTTGGCTGGATGACTACTGATGGAGCAGTAGGCAGCTAGTGCATCAGGGCCAGACTGTACCTGACTCACATACAGACTGCCTGACGACAATTTTATACCTATGGAGTGGTGGTATAACAAATCAGATTTCTGCACAGTGTGTTCAAGAGATTTTGGGTTGGTACCAGAGGCCCCACCACTGGGACTGACATACCATTGAACCATGTACTAGGACAAGCATTTAATATAGAAACAGATAACCTGGTACAAGTTAGGGGAAAGAGCTTGTGAGCTAGTGACTCCCCCTCAGTCTGCTTCACAAACCTGAGCTAACACCAGCTAAATCAGGCTGCTCCCAAGATGTCCAGGATTTCACAGCTAACAAGAACCTTCCAGTGGAGGTTTTCAGTTCACTACAATGCAGCAAGGGAAAAATCCAAGCAGATTTTTCTCCCTGCTCATACCTTCCATTCACACAGTTTCCTATTTTACAAAGAGACTGACACTATTTAAAATGCCAGATCCATTACATCTTTTGTTTTCTCTAAATAAGAAAGAAAATATAGTTTTATGGGAAGCCATCAATCTTTCCCAAAGTGACTTACTGTACTGAAGAAAATAAACATTGCTGTATATGTAAAGCAGAGCAGAAAAGCTGAAGTCATGTGCAAAGCCCTGCTTTCTTTAGCAGTAGCAACATATTAAAGACAAATGTAGTCCACTGAAAGTGACATAAATAAGTGGATTTCCCATCTGAAACATTGTTTTTAGCAAGAGAAGCTTTTAATCCCCTTAAGTTCATTTCTAATCTGTCTTGGAAGTGCTTGTCTAAAGAATATTACATTGATATAAAGGATTTAATTTATTAAAACTAAACAGCAGCCAGCATACTACTAAAGAATATCTTGTACGCAGTACTCTCCCAAATGAATAAAGCTGCTACAGGTAGAAAAAAAAATGCACAAACACTTGGCACAGCATTCATTAAAAATTCACACATTATGTTCCTATGCTCTCCTGCTCGCTGTGCTTTTCCCAATAAAGCAAACACTTTAGAATTCATAATACCTCTTTATCCCATGTGCACAAGTGACCTCCTCTCCTTTATGCACCTAGCAAATGAACAAGTACAAAAGGGAATAGAGTAAGCAGAAAACCAAACATGCCCTCTCCTACCCAAGAGCATACAAAGAGGGCAAGCAGAGGTTCTCGAAAGGGTTTAGAGCAGCCTCTACGAAGATGCCAGTGCTCTTGCTACCCAGCAGTTTTGGCCGGTGCACACTGTGTAGACAGCATCAATTATGTAGTTCATCAGTCAATTAATTTTAAGGGATCTTTCTTATAATAGCAGTTGAAGGAAACAAAAGTTGTCTTCAAACTACATTTAAATCACTTGTTAGCCACAATTTTGGCAGACTATTTAATAAGCAGCAAGAAGTCAACCATCAAATGACAAAATGGCCTTCTTGTCTCTTCCTGAGTATAAAAATTTCTCCATGTTCTAGCAATGTACCTTGAGACATCTCCCTGGTTTCTCCATGAGTGCTTTCAGTATGTAAGGTGGTATCCAGAGTAGTTTCAAACAAGGCCCCAGAGATCTTTTAATCCTACACTCCAGGAATGGAAAAGACTTCAAAAATTTTGTGAAAATTAGTAACCAACTGTCTTAAGGGAAGATTTAGTCCACAAGGAACAACCTACATGTTCAAAAATGTACTGTTATGTCTAAGGCCTCTTTCCTGAACTATGCAGTTCAATATAGTATAGATTTTCAGGCTTTTTTCCCCGTGTCTTGCAAAAAGAGATGTTATTTATGGAGAAAATTCTGCTCTGCTATGGCACGGTGTATGCATTGTGACTCATCTTACATTACACCCATTGATTTCTTCTGAAGTCACAACGGAAGCATACTGTTGCAAATGAGATTGGTATTTGGTCGCACGTTGTTATCACACTGGATCTTAGATGAAATTACACACGACATAGTTTCTGTTCATTTTAATAATGGCCAGCAGCCATACTGCCTCCATTTCAAGCCCACATAACTTGTCATATAGGGTTAAGACTGGACAGCACTGGTAGGTCTCCAAAGAAAACCACAAAGCAGGTGGAGGTATTCAGGGATTAAGATTTTAAACCTGCAGAGAAACATCTTCATGAGGAGTCAGTGTATTGTAGATGTTTTTCACAAAGCAGTCTTGGATTGGTGCTGATGCTGACTAAACACCCTCTAACCAGACTGACCCAACAAAAAAAAGAGTCAGCAGGTCATGCTGAATTTTGCCCTACTACATGATACAAAAATAAAGCTATTCTCAAACTATTACATGCACACAGTCATGGCAGTTTTAGCAGTAGCAGCACATGGTTGTGTGAGAAGGAGGACTGGCTTTCCTGAGGTCTTGCAAAACAAAAAGTGTCCATGAAACTAGAAGCCGTAAGAAACCATTTTTCTCTGGGTGTTATCTATGTGCACATTTTAACACAAAAAGCAAGGACAATGACAAAAAACTTCTTCTTTAAGGAAAAAATGAAATAACAGAGACAGTAAGGGCTTCTTTCTAGTAGGAAATCCATTTTCTTCCCTGCATTCTTCCCACCATTTTAGATGGTGCTGTAGCAGTCAAGTGGTACCTACTGACATTTTTATTTTGGGTAAAAGCCCATGAAAATATTAAAGCATGAACAAGTCATCAAGTCAGTTTATGAATCAATATACAGATTTCCTCCATGCCCATAGCTGATTTCCATAACCATGAGCGTGCTGAAATCCTGTCTAGATGCCAAATCAATTTTTCTTATATACGAACATCACAGCTACTTGAGAAAGGGAATCTGTGCCAAAAACCTCACGCTCTTAACTAATTATTTCTGTGACTCCTTCCTTGCAAAGTACAATGACTGCCACATAAATACACACAACATTTATTAGGAACAGGCACACTTCCCCCAGGTTCAGCCTGAGTGCAGCAGCATCCCTGACAAGCTCATCTTCCTGAACTGTGCAGCCAGCCTTTGTCACAAGAAATAGTTCTGCTTTTCCCAGGACTTTTTTGCTGTGAAGTAGTCAAGTACTTATCGTCTCAGGCAGGGCAGCCAGGAGAGTATGGAAATTTGCAGCTCGCTGTAGAAGCATCCTCCAGAGAGCTGTTGTCTGGCATTTGCTTTTGCTGGTCATTGCTATTGGTCTTGCCCTCCCATGTGCCTCCCCTGCACAACATCCAGAGACATATATCTCCTCACAAATGAAAAACCTGTTAGATCTCCTCCCAGACCCAAATGTATTGATAATATCAATTTGCACTTAGTTTGTCCTGAAGACTTTAGCCCTTAACATGCCTAGATTATGGAAAGGAAGCACTAGTGCTGCTGGGAAACTCTACTGTAATGCCTTTGCCACGCAGCCTCACCTTTGGCATGCTAATGGGATGTCCCAGCATTCACAGCAGCTGAGCTGCCCCGTGAATTCATTGCAGCATCTCCCTCTCACCCAGTCCAGAGCTGCTGTCTGTGGCAGTGACATGGACAATTCTTCATGTAAATAATTTCCAAATGGAGGTACTCGTTATTAGTGCAGGCACTTCTGAAAGTAAAAGCAAACAGCATTTGGCAGCAACAACTATTAATGAGAGAGTCACTAGCGAATTAATTCTGCAAACCACACAGTGATTTCCAGGGCATTTCCTTGCAAGACATCTCAGAGCAGATGTTGTGCAAGTAGCACTGACATGGAGCAGGCAAACAGCGAGGTTAAAGTACCGAGCTAGCAGAGATGACCAAGTAGGAAGGAAGACAAGAGGTTGTCAGGAGATGTGGGTTGGTATTGGCAGACCAAAAGTATGCTGATGTAATAAACTACCATTGCACAATGGGGACGTTGCTGGGAGAGGTGATGGTTAGGGTTTGGTTCCAGCCTCCAGACACTGCTGGTCTTTCTGGATTTGAGGCACCATTATGCTTCTGCGTGTGTGTAAGTGTGTGCATGTGTGCGTGTGTAAGCATGGGGAGCAGCATCTAGGCTAACCCTTGTAGGCTAACCTTGAATCAGCAAGTCTTGTTAAAAGAACATAAGGTCAGTGATAGACTAATGACTCCTGTAGGGTGCCCTATTTGTTTCTTGGAGTTTCTTCATATTTTGACAGTTTCCAACCATCTGAAAAAAAGATAAATAAAAATTATAAATACAAAACAGTATATATTGCAATAGAGAATATAATAAAATTAAGTAATAATTTTAACTAATAGATAAATTTAATTATCTAATAAATAAAATATATAATAAATAAAAATTATACTGAAGTATAAATAATGGTATATAAAAAACTGACCAATATAAAGGAGGTAAGGAGGGCAGTAGCCCTTATCTAAGACCATTCCCCCTCCGCAGCAAGCCCTGTGGAAGCATGTAAAACAGCTACACTGACACACCTGTAACATTAAAGTTTTGAAGGGAAAAGGGAGTCTGTTCAAAAAATACTACTCTTGTCTTTCAAAGGCAGCTTCTGTCAATGAAAAATAAAGTGGGTGCAGAAAAGGAAAAAAAGTCCCTCTCTTGTGTTCCACATTAATATATACTATTGTTGAACACACTGTTGGCCCCCGCAGTCCTGTTGCCCACAGCCTGAGCTCTTGGCTACCCTTCCCCATGTACTTCACTTGAGAAGGAATAAATATTCACCATTTCAAACACTAGCAGTAACAAGGAAAGTAAATGTCCTACTCAAATGTCTCCCAAATTGCCACATTCAAAAGTTACAAATTAAATATATTAGGGAAAAATCTGAATTGCTCATATAATACAAGAGGATAGAGTGTGTTCTGGGCTGCCTGATAACATGCTGGTTATTTGAAGAAGGTCTGAGGGAAAACCGCTTCCCTCATTAATAAGGTCTGGGGGACATTGTGCAGTGTCCTTCACCACTGCACTTACAGGGTAGGATGCCACCCAAGGGGAGGTTGACACCGGGTAGTATATTCACTGCCTGACTTGGGACTGGAGTCCAAGTCCCCCAGAAATTAGCTGAGATAAGCCTGTCACCCTGACAGGGCTGTGTGACAAGGCGTGGGGTACTGAAGCACTCATTCTGTGGTACCTACTGGTGCTCCAGGGCCTTGGACCAGCACCCAGGGCAAATGTTGGTACCCTGAGCATCAGTCGAGCTCTCAGGATTTGTCTGAGTACATGTCAGCTGGCACTCTCACGCTCTCTCCTAATTTATAGTGACGTTTCCCTTCACTGATGGCAAAGTTTCTGGGTGGTGTAGTTCTGTCCCTGTGCTAATCCCCCGGCTCGCACAGGGCACGCTGCCAGATAAGGTGCTAAACTCTGCCACAAAGGGGATAGTCACTGTCCCTCCCTGTCCTGCCACAGCTGAGCCATGGTGCAGGGAAATGCCACAGCCATCACACACCGAAAAACAAAGCTGCTGCAGATTCCTGTTGGGGAGAGAAGAGGAAAAGCAGGTTTGGAGCTAGTGCTCTCTGCTGCGATGAGGCTGAGCCCTTCCATGAGGTCCCACAGAAACTGTCCAGGTTCCCTGGCAGGGCAAGCACTCCAGAATGCTGCTAGGGGACAAAAAGCAGTCAAGTGCTTGCTAAAAAACATTGTGAGCACTGTAAAAGTCATAACCCTCAAGGACTACAATGCTGCAAGCAGAACACATCTTACCCAGCTGAGACCTTTCTAAACCCTTTGTTTCAGATCAAGCACATATGGTCCCAAACTCCATACAAGTACATCAACCCGTGGCACCTCTGAGACGGAAATAATCGAGTAATTGTTTCCAACACAAGGGGAGTGCCATTTTGTAACATCATCTTGCCATTAGCAAATATAATCTAAATACCTAAGTAGAAATAAAAGCTACAGACAGGACAAAGCGTGCCTATGTAACAAATCCATAGCTTTTCTAGGTACTTGGCACATCAGCATCCTACTCAGTATTTTAATTCTATTATAGGCTAATGGATAATTCTTGATCTAATGGTTAATACTAACAATATCAACAGTTATTTCTTAATGATTTAAAACTTGGGGAGAAAAATATCCACCCTATGTTTCCTGTCAGTGGATGTTTGGTTTTGGCCTTAGAGTTGCAAAACTAAAACACGATGACTCAGAATTTGCTATATTATACCCCCGTCCCCTAGTTTATATAAAGAGATCATAAACCCCTCTGGCACCATAAATAACCATGCCTCTACAGCAGCGGAGCCAGGCACAACAGACAAAAATCATCAAAATTGCTAACCAAACAAGAAGAAGGAGTTATTAAAGAACTCTTAAGCTCCCACGTGTTTGTTTTCAATGATCTGCACTGCAAGTGCTGCCTTGGCTCTCCCAAAGAGCCAGGACACTGATTGTGCTCTCATTAAACAATGCCCTGTCATCACGTCGAGACGCAGGATAAAATGTACAATTATTAATCCCTTTAACGTAATTATAGATGACAAGAAAAGAAGGGAGACTGCATCAATGGAATGACTTTGCTCACAAGAAGACAGAACAATTAAGAATGATAGCAGAAGTTATAAATATTTCTAATTCAACTAAGCTGTAAGGTTTTGGTTTTCCTAGTAGGATCCGTTGGGTTTCACCAACAACTATATACACAAAATATTTGCTCAAAGGTTGGAATTCTAATAAATATAGAAGGTGGCAGTGTTTTTATTAAAAATAAAATTAATTAGCCTTTACTTCATCAGCAAAATTAGCTTTTCCTTAACAAAATTATAAACCTTCAGTCAGAGCTTGGCTGATAACCTGGTCACCCAGCTCCAATGTATGGTTTCCATCCACATTTTGTGAAACCATGGCTATGTCTTTGGCTGTCCTTCACTACGTCTTGTGGTGGAGGAGCCAGGCGCAGTCACAGCAGGTGGTGTGCTGATGACCAGGACAATGATTTTCAGCTGAGAAGAGAAAGAAGTGGCTTGATAAGAAACAATTTTCTCTGACCTCTTTGCAAGAGTCTGTGAAGACACCACATGTGAAGGGAAGCAAAGTTACAGCCTTCTCAAAGCAGAAGGAGGGATGTATCAACACCTCTGATTTTCTTACTGTGTCTACAGCAAAGAGTGAGAGGTTCAGGAATTGTTTACAAAGCTTGTGTGACTTACTGGACTGCTGAGTCCAGGATGAGGTGACTTGTGTGTCTGGGAGAAGATGTTCCTGAGCCACTGAAGGGGCGTCAGGTCAGTTGGGGAGATGGCAGAGGAGCAGGGCTAGGGAAAACTGTGTGAAATGAGTTACAAGACGGGAGCAGGAGCTCCAGGAACATGTGAGGGTCTGCAGCTATGGAGCCTTTGCTCCACAAGAATTGATACCAGATGACTCAGCTGTACAAATCTGATACAGATCACACTATAGACATGTGACTGCTTCTACCAAATTAGATACAGCACATGATGTAAGCTTGTGCCAGCTTCACTCAGGCTGTTGAAAGACAGACAATAAGGATGAATAGTCTTAAAGACAGCATGGAGCAGTCAACCACCACCTACTCAAACAGAGATCTTCTCCCCAGATTTACCTCTCCAAAATGGTGAACAAGCTTAAACCTGTGACATTAGGATATCCTAGATCAGTGCTTTGCATTTCAGGGCCATGACATTTTCCATTCAGTAGCTGGAAACTTAAAGCCAGATGAGCTGTGTCACGAACAGCAGTCAGTGCCACACCATGTGCCAGTGGCTCCGGACATGTGGTGCAGGCCTGTCATAGGGGAGCTCTGCTCCAGCAGCTAGGAAAAGAAAGAAAAGAGGCTAATTTCTACCTGAGACACAAGACTGCAGATGACGTTGAAAAATCTGACTCTCTCATGGGTCTGCTCTAGAAAATAGGTCTAAAATTCAGGCTATATAATGTTTGTGGCATCCCTGGAACTCTGATTTGTAAAACTCTGAAGAAAACCAAAATAATACCAAAAAACCCAACCAAAAACCCAGCAACCCAGACTCCAAACTTTCTGGCTAGTTTGTTCAAGGCGATTTTTCATTCTACTTATCGCTGCCACCAACATTTTGCTTAGTCTTGAAGAAATCGTTGTCATTCCGCAGTCAGATGTTTTTACATGTACATCCATCATCGCCTGATATACCCTGACCTTAGTTAAAACTTATGTTTTCTAAATTGTACTTTTATGTTGAGCAAGCCCTTAGGCTACACTGTTAAAAGTTTACCTTGAAAAATCATTTATAATAGATTTGTTTGAGTTATGCCTGTTGCAAAGCCATCAGAAAGGTCAGTATTAATTAGCAGTGGCTTACATATAGTCTAGACAATAAAAAAGTAAATAATTTTACCTTTTTTAAGAGCTTTCAGTATTTTACCAGTTCTAACAAATGATACTGATATAAATTACAGTTATAAAAAGTTGCAGTATGATTTACAACAAAGCTACTCCATTTGAATAATTTATTTTTCCTTGAAATATTTTCATTATATACGCACATAGCTCAAATAAAAATATGTTTATTGTGAAACTGAGACAGCCAACAAAAAATCTTAATTAATTCCATTTGCTGTGCAATAGCTTGGTTGGAGGATTAAA